TTACCTCTTTTCTCCTTCAGCCAACTGCCATCACGACGATGATTGCCTCAATGGTGGAAAATGCTTAGCTGAACCTAACTCAATCACATCAGCCAGTTGCTATTGCACCTATGGGTTCTTTGGCAAAAATTGCGAACAAAGTACGCAATTGCAGAAATATGTACGCGCTAGAGAAATAGTAATTAGCGATTTTTAGGTTATGAACATAGTGATGACACCTGCTTCTCCTATGCTAGTATCCAGGAGAAGAAGTATGAGATGTATGGCATGTTCGATTCATCTTGCTACAATAAGGACAAACTAAATGAGAATGATTTTGTTTACTATAGGAAGGTTAAGGTAAAATTTGTTTACCAGCTAAGAACTAGTGAATTCTGTAGTTAATTACAACTTGTTCTTAGAACGACGTGGAAATCATACTAGACTTCAGTTCCACATCTTGGGTATCCATAGGTTGGCGACCAGAGGGTTTGGACAAATCCTGCCGCCTATTCCCGGATCTTGAGGGTAATTCAGAGGAGAATCGTAAGAATATTCAAGAATATCATTGAAATCAGAATTTTTTCTGGCGAAATAAGCCATAGATTGAAATTTGAAGCACACATAACGCCTGGCATCGCTGTTTAGGTGTTCGATCAAAGCGTTCTTCAACAGTTGAAATGCCCCCACTTCATCCGCCTCCATCTCAACCCATTCGGGTAAGTTTTCCGATTACCACCAAAGGTCATTAAGATTTTGTAACCATCAAAGGCATAGCTTATCTTGCTAGTCCATGGACTTCTTACCCCAAAATATCTATCTACCTATTCAATAACTAACCACACTCGGAATGTTCCCTGAAGTTTGTAGAAAAGATTTAGGACCGAAAAAAAAGAAGAACCAGTTGGTCAACACATCTCCTTGGAGTCAAACGTAAAGAGGGTTATATAATTAAGAATTTAATTCAATTATCCAATCAATGCTCCAGTCTCAAAAGATCCTTCATTTTTCTAATACTCATTGATCGGTTTTTACACTACCACAAATTCATGAACTAGCTTAAGCATTTTAGCGTATACCTTTTCTTCTCAAAAACTGCGCTTTTAACAAGAAACGCACATTGGTTTCTGGAAAAAGGTGCACCCACTAATCCAGTCGTTAGGCTTTTCGGCGATCAAAGTTATGGGGAACAGCTAGACATTTGAGCGGACGCAAAAATAGAAGTTGAACGAGAACGGAAGCCTAAGCGTGATAACCTCGAAAAAATTTCAGTGGATCGCAAATATCAAAATAAAATAAAAACTGAAACAACTCTGTTTTGGAAATTAGAACAGAACTACTAAATTTGAAATTTTACAAATGAGCTAGGTGATAAAAGATTATGGAAACGGATGATAAAACATTTTTGATTCAGAGAGATCCACCACCAACTGACAATACGCAACCAGAAACAGTCTTTGATCGTGATCATCCGCCGACAAAAATCGCTCAAGAAGGTCCACGACCAGTAATGCCGCGGAATAACGGGCTTTGTACGGATTCATCTATGTCTATAATCAAACTAGATATTTTATTTTTAAAAAATACTTTTTTGAAGTGGACACAGCTCTGCGAGCTCCTCTACATGCTATGGATTGTGTGGATGTGTTGATTGGTGCAGTTCGAGATGGACGAACTCGAGTGCAAGACTCTTATTCTAGAGATCGATCCACACCATTGGAAGATCATTGGTAGAGTTAAGCCGGGTGCAAAGATTTCTAAAACATTCACCCTTGGGTTTAGGTATGATGGTGAGATGTCGTTGGTTGCTTCAGCTGGACGAGAAGTTGATGGTAGAACTATAGTGATGTTCCGAAGAGCAATGCAAGGTAAGGAAATTATTAGAACTACAAGATTGCGAGTAAAACACTTCATAGAAGGAAAACTTTGAAATTCTCAGATACAGAAATATTGGCCATCTCAAGCAACATTATTTCAGCGTCTGATATCACTTTCAAATGATTATTTCACTTTTTCCCTAGAAATCGAGCCCACCGACCATCCATTAGGCCCTGGCCGTATGTATGTAGTATGGGCCAAAGGCCAACAACAAGGTGCGTACACCCATGTAGCTCAGTCAGCTCTGGACGATGGCAATCATTCTACTATCCAGTTCTATCCGGATGATATTCTCAAATATCATGGAGGTATAAGCTTCACGATTTATATTTGACCCATTTGTAGCCGGCCTAAAGACTATTCTATTCAGCCAAGAATCGTGGGGTGCATCCGATTGACTTCACGATACCGGTGAAAATGCCTCGACCTGGGGATGCAGCTTTTGGCGTTAATATAGCTGCAAGTGAGTTGCTCTCTCCCCGAAA